TGTTCTTTAGAGTTAATTCACAACTTTCGATGAAGTATAAAGTAAGTATACTTTCATTCTTCGTGAAGTCATTTCGCAGAATTTAAATATTCTTACAGACATTCCTTCAATAACAGACAAAAAAAAAACTAAGCTGTATAATTATAAACGATTTTTTTTAAAGCACACATGCAGAAAATATTTAAAACTTTCCTAAATCGGAAAGTTCGTCAGATTTGAGATGTTAAATCTCTGTACATCATAAATCTTTTCCATTGTCCACTATTTGTAACAATTTGCAAGTTACCATAATTTCAGCTGGCGACTATATTTCAGAAAGATATCGCCAAATATAAGTATTCGTAGCCAAGAATAAATTCGCTTTTCAAACGATGGTGGTGCCATCTGTTTGAGATAGTCCTAACTACGCCAAAAATAATTCAGAATGAACTTAAAATTTAAAAAAGTTAATTAAGAAAAACATAAAACTTAATTCTGGCTACACTAGTCCAAAGAGGGAAGCTTGCTTTCTTATATACTATTTAATTCTACTCTAAAAAAATTTTTTTTTCTATTAAAATGTCTTTTGCGTTTCCACCTCCTATACTTTAACATAGAAAAGTCAAATTTCATTTTGCAAAAATGCTGAAAACTGTGTAATTTTCCAAAAATCAAAATTCAAAAAACACTATCCTTTAAACAATTATTTTCTTTATATCCATAAAAATTTTTATTATTATTGGAGCTTTTTCCTGCCCACAAATGTCTTTGCCGTTTCATCCCTATCCTTTAACATTGACCGAAAACAGCCTTAAGAGCCCAGTATCACTAAAGACCCGCCGTGTAGGGCAGCGAGGCACGTTAAATCTGTCGAGAGCTGAAACGTCCTCCCGTTGGTGTGGTAGTTAGGAGAGGGTTCCCAGCTCAGGTGTCGTCCACGTCACTTGACCATGGTTCAAAATTACGTGGTCCGTCGCCAAAAGCCCTCGTGTAGCTGAACAGTGCGACGTTAATATTCAATCAATCAATCAATCAATCTGAATAGCATTAAAGTGTTTACAATTGTGGGAGAAGCTTCTACGTATTCAGTAATTTTGGAAATTAAAATTTACGAGCTACTCTTGCTTAAATTTAGACAAATGTTGAATCTAGTGGCATGTTCATAAGTTGTTCCTTCTCTTTCATTGGCAAACCTTCTGATTTATCCATTCATGTTCGGTTTTTTCCTCTGGGAAATATTATTTTACAAGTGTTAGATATTTTTATGAAAAGAAAAATAGTCTGTTCAATACTTTTGTCTAAATCTAATGCACTCCATTCCATTCCACTTAGTCTTGCAAAGCATTGCACACACAAGTAGGAAACTATTTTGTGTAGAGCCCAGGGGGTCATAAGCAACAGAATATCCATAATCTAGGTAGAACACATAAAGAAAAAAACCCGTTTTAATATTCTTTTAATGCTACCATATTATATAAAAGTTTCAGGAAATTACTAAAAAGCGAGGCTGTGTCCGGCTCCGAATTTATTTTTTTAAATTTCTTCCCATGGTGCAAGTGTTGGGAAAAACGACTTTAGATACTTGTGGTCGTACAAACTCCATAGAGAACTTGAATGTATTTTGTACACGCATTTATAATTTTATCGAATTTTTATTTTGACTCCTCCAACCTCTGAGTGTGCTTCGTAGAACTCCAGGGTTCTGTGGAACACAGTTTGAAAGCCTATGCTAGGTCGTATGTAGAAACATGTTCTGTCTTCTAGAGAATTAATTAGATGTGCCATTTATACGAGTTTCTTGTTGATGTGTTCCTTCTCCCTTTTAGTGGCCGCGGTAGCCGAGTGGTATAGGCATCGGATCGTGGCTGGCTTTGTCACGAGTTCGAGCCCAGTACCACTAAAGACCCGCCGTGTAGGGCAGCGATGCACGCTAAATCTGTCGAGAGCTGAAACGTCCTCCCGTTGGTGTGGTGTGGTAGTTAGGAGAGGGGGTGCCAGCTCAGGTGTCGTCCACGTCACTTGACCATGGTTCAAAATTACGTGGTCCGTCGCCAAAAGCCCTCGTGCAGCTGAACAGTGCGACGTTAATCTTCACTCACTCACTCACTCACCCTTCTCCCTTTTAAGCAATGATTTTGATTCTTTTGTCAATATACTCTCGTGCACACAAAGCACATATTTACTATTACGTTTCGTAAACAAAATAAGTAACTCATAATACTTTTTACAGTAAATTTATACAATACATTTCAAGTTTTATGATTACTAGAAGTATTTTTCAAGCTTTCTTTACGTTAAAAAATGATAATGTATCTAATTAGTACTGATATTCAACTTTTTAAACATAAATATTGAAAAAGTAAGCACATATATGTATTTAAAAATATGAACGTCAGCATTAATGTAGGGGCAAAACCAGTTGAACATATATATGTGCCAAAACATACTTCTTTTATAAAAATTACCTAACTTTTATATTCAGATCAATAGCTAGAATCTTAGATACAGTTCTATAGCTTTTAATGTTACTTTTTTTTTCCCATGTCGAATCTTAAAAGATGAAAAAGAAATTGATGTCAAAAATCACAGTTGCTTTTACTTCATTTCTACTTACGCCATATATGTTGTTGGTTTTGAGTAAGCGTTGTACTAGAGTTAAAGTACAGGGTATCGAAGAAGTAAGCTGTAATCTCAAACCACAGCTAAAGTCGAGGGCAACTTCTGAACAGATACTTTACTTGCCCAAACATCAACATCAAACGACCCGCCAAGCAAGTTTCTTGTGACCCTATTACAGGTTACAACAATTTCTAGTATACAGTGTGCATTTAGGAAATTTGTGATTCCAAAATTGTCTAAGATTAAATTTGTATAATTTCCCTTTTGTATTTATCCTCAAATGAGTTATAGTATTCTTGAAGTAACTACATGATTTATAGTTTTCAGCACATAGGTATATAAATATTTTAAGTAATATTAATTGGCCATTTTTTAAGATTGAAAAGGAAGAAATATTTAACCCTTCGCCAACCTAAAGTACTGTCATGATTACAAGAGGGCAGCTTTAAAGGCGGGCAGCTTTAAAGGCAGTTCGTCGCAAGAAATGTATTATTGTTAAAATGATCCTTCTATCTATGTTTTTTGGATAAGGTAGCCTAATGGTCTTGATCGCGAACTCGTGGCTCGTGTTGTTGAGTTGACGGTTCGAAACCTAATGCCACTGACGACCCTCCTTTTCGAGTAGCTGTTACATATTAAATCTGTCGAGAAAATCCTCCTCTTAGCGTGATGTGGTTGTTTGGTGAAGGAGGTGGCAGCTCAAGTGTCGTCCTAGTCATTTGACCGTGATTCAAAATTGCGATGACCCTCGCTATTAGCCATCGTGTTACTTCCCAGTTCGATGTAAATTAAAATAAAACCTATCTGCATATTTTGATCGAATATGCTTATCTAGGGATCTAGGAATTTGTTGGGGGCTATTGAGCTTTCTCAAGAAAAATAAGCAACTCATTTTTTATTTTTTGATAACTAATTAAACCTTACATTTCTTTAAATTTACGCAACATATTACAATAATATTAAATGCATGCTGTCAAACATATCATAATGACTATATTCGAGATAAGTAAAACAATGTTTACATTTTCCTGATTTTAATAAGTAATTTTAATAAGTAAAACTTTACGTTAGGTTTCGTGTACAATAAATACACTAATATATCATAAATTAAAATATTTTACTTCTGTTATGTATTATTTTTCATATGTGTGTTAATACATTATTATAAATCAAGGTTTATTATTTATGTATTAAATCTCTCCATGTTTTATTATTGTTACGCACGCATTATTTTTCTATAGATTCACATTTAATTTGCTAAGGAAATACGCACTTTATCTGTATCGTTATTTTATTATGACAACTCGTTTCATTGTAACTCTTACTTGTTCCTCACATAGCTTTATTTTACGTGTAACACAACAACAAAAAAATGCCATTAAAAACATTCTTAGCAAAGATGTTACATTTTTTCCCCAAGTGCCGCTGAAATGGTTAACATTCTGCACCATATAAATGAGTCTCATTATTAAAGCATTCTTCTCTGAAGAAATAGCCCTTATAGTAAAAAACGGCATCGGAAGCCATATCACTTAATTTATGGATAAAAAAAGAAGAAAGAAAGATTACCGTTTTAATGTTTTCTTCGTTGATTTTACTTAGGCGGTACAAGCCTACGTATTAAAAAAATGTCCGTGTAACAACCCAAACATCTGTCAGTTGCAAGTTCATACTTCCACATACGTCATTAGCAATCCTTGGATTTCTATGCAGTGTTCGCGAAAGGGTCTTTTCCCTCCCTGTGTGCTTTGATTTTGACAAAGGCGTTCTTTCAGAACTCTCCCTACACCCCCGAGTAACATTGCCTATATAAACTGCGCAACATATGTGCTAGAAGCAGCTGTCGCTATTGGTTGAAATGGAACCGGAGAGGGGGAGATTAATGAGAACCTTTCCGATGCTATAATTGCTGGGGCGTCAAGCCTTGATGATAAGTTTTCTTCATTGATTTTTGTTTTCGACTTTATTTTGACTGATGCCTTCATTCAGTCAAAGAACACTACAGACATTTGTCAGTTTGATCCTCAAGTCATGTGAATTGATTCCGTTTTAACAATGGTAGAGATAGCTCTTTTATAAAAAGAACAAAAAGCTAGCTGAAAAATTTTGCATTGTTTTTATGTCATTCAAATAAATGTCTGGTAAAGAATATATTTTCAATTCCTACAAATACTCTCTTCACACTCTCCCTATATATATCAAATTTTCAATCGTTAATAAAATGCTTTTTATTCATCCACTCAAGTTCAAATACATTTTTTTAAACTTGTAGTGGATGATATTTGTTGTTAATAAGTTTTTCAAATATTAATTCTCATTAATTCTATTTAATTAATGAATAAATAATAACAAAAATAATAGTCCAACACCACATACAAAACGAAACATCGCTCGCTGTGTCTAAGTAGCGCAATGGGTAGCGCGTTGGACTTCTAATCCGAAGGTTATGGGTTTGAGTCCCGCCTGCGCTGACCTGATTTCTGGGAATGGGGGTACTTTTTACTATACTATTTTATTGGAATAATTAAATTTTATTAATGAGTAAATAGTAACAAAAAAAATAATGGTCCAACACCATATTTAGAAAGGAAAATGAAAAATTGCAAGGAAAATCGCTTTCTATTTTGCCACTTAATATTTTGATTCTGTCATATGTATATACATATTTATATTAATTGTAATTATTTAATAAAAAGTAACTAAAATATAAAATTTTTCTTCGTTGACATAAGTAGGAATTGTGACATAAAATTTTCTTTTATATTACTTGTTATATTAAAAGAGCACATTAAAAAATATTGCAATTCAATAAGTTTGCTCGAATCTATCTAGATTTTGATAAGGCTACATTTAAGGCTTCATTCATTATTTTGCAAAATTATATTGTTTATAAATGAATATTACTTATATAATTTTTCCACTTTTACCTGTTTTGAGATATTCATACAAGTTAAATGAAAAAAAAAAATGTTAACATTAAATTCATTTGGAGAGATTTATAGTACTACGAGCATAAGAGGTACTTAAGTAGATCTTAAATATAGGTATCTTGAATATATACATATGTATGTAAAACGAAGTAAAATATTTTAAACTAGTTCGATATATTTTTCCTCTATTAAACTAAAATTAATTTTGAGAGGTACACGTGAAAGTCTTATATAGGTTCCCTACAGCTAGCTTAAAATTATCAACAAAATATTTCTTTATACAAAAAACAATGCTTTATAAAAAGTTAGATTTTTTTCGCTTCTAGAGGGGAAGGAAAAAAAAGAGGATAAAAATTATTTTAATGTATAATTATATACAATTATTATATTATGCATAGATAATTCTAATGAATAAATAAACATATAAAACTTTGCAGAACTAAATTTTCAGAAAATTTATGAAATGCATTTCATGATCGCGTGTTACTTGGAACTCAGTAGATAAAATATTTACCGTAAAATCCGGCGTATAACGCGCACATTTAACGCAAAAAATGAGATCGATATTTACAAGTGGGCGTTAAACGCCGGGTACAAAAATGATAGCTTTTAAAATAAAAAAAGTGGATGAACATAAATAAAATAAGACTTTACATATATACATATACTGAAAAATATTGCTTATTTAAAAGAAATGACATTCTCCTTATGAACTTGAAAGGTTGTAGTTCTAGAAGTACACTATTTTTTTCAAAAGCTTGGAATAATGCCTTGAATTAATGACTTAAAAAGATAAGAGCATTGAACTCGTATATTTCGGGTCTCTTCGTAAAAAAGGGAGTGCGACGAATCTACCCAGAAATTAAAAAATGCATTTTAAAAGTATGGGAGCGCGTGATACGCCGGTGCTCGCTATAGACCGGATTTTACAGGTAATCATTAAATTGATTACTGCGGCTACATCAAACAAGATTTTGTTTTCAATAAATGCTGTTTTATTGGACAAAGAAACAACCCTTATATATAACACAAAGTTCCCAGAAATAATCATTGTTCTGACGTAAAAATCATTACAGGTTCATTGCGGTTTCTGAAGCTACTATACAAATCTATACAAATAAATGCTCGCCGGGCTTACAGAAACAGAGAAACTGTAAAGCGTGTCTGTTAAAAATTGGAAAATTGGTGACTAAGTAAACTTCAGTCAGTCAAATTTATCTCATGGAAAAAAATAATAAATAGTAAATAAATAAATAAATAAAAATAATGATTATCTTATTTAATGAATAGCACTCTGAATTTAGAAAATAGGCTAGATATGATAGACTTTTAATTTTGAACTACGCTCAGGCGAAAAAGACGCCATCACATTCAAGTTGATTCTTCAATCTTCAAATTTCCCCTTGACGCGAAATTTAAACTAGCAAATATATATATATATATATATATCTGCAGTAGCGCACACAAAAATTTTTCAAGGGGGTCAGGGTCGAAAGTTCACCATTCTTGTATCATGCTCCTTTTGATTTTGTCCATTTTCGGGAACAAAATACAGTAAAAAACTAAATATTATATAAATATTTAGCATTAATTAATAAAATTAATCATTAATAACAAATACTTAATTACGTTTTACGTATTATATACATAGAATTATAATGAATCGGAAAAAAAATCAAGGGCTTTGGGGAGGGGTCCGTACCCCCACCCTTGTGTGCGCCACTGTATATCTGTAATTTGCGAACTCGATTGCTCTCTAATTCTCCAAATTTCATCAAATCCAGGGTAAGTATTTGCAAAGTTTTCATGTGTAAATGTTCTAAGACCGATTTCTGTGTGCTCTGGACTTTATTTTCTTTATGCAGTGGGTGGTCGGTTAACGAACATAATTTGTTCCAAGACTATGCTCGCTATCCGAATTGTTCGTTAACCGATCATCGATTCACCATAGACTTCTATGTGAAATCGATTAATTCGTTCTGGAGACCCTAAAAGTTAAATTTTAAAAAATGTATAATTTCTTTTTTAGTAAGTTTTTTTAAAAAAATACTACATACATATAGTCTTGCATATTAATCAGTCCTTTTCATTTTTTGCTTATGGTGCGTTGAAGAACATGTCCAATGTCGATTGCTTTTCTCTCTTTTTCAGGATTTTCCGGAAGTAATTAATAGCATTGTCTTTGTAAAGATCCCCAAACCTACTGACATCAGCTTGGTTTGGGTGCCGTTCTAAGACCATTGCTCTGACAGCATCCCACTTTTAAAAAAGATCTTTAATGGCAGATGTTGGCATTGGTCCTCTTTCGTCTTCCTCTTGTTCAGAAGGAGACACATTTCGTTGTGCTTCTTGGTGTTCTTCATTCGAAATTTCTTGGAGTTCTTCTATCGTCAGATCATCTTCATGTTCCATCATGAGCTCTTCTATGTCATCCTCGTTCACCTCCAAATCCAGATCTCTAGCAGTTGTCAAAATTTCATCCATAATTTAAGGGGTGTCTCCCTGATCACTTCCGAATATGTGTTCGTTGTCCAAACACAAAAAATCTTTCTTGAAAGTGTTCGTTATCCGAATATGTGTTCGTTATCCGAACACAAAAATCTTTCGTGAAAGTGTTCGTTAACGGATCCCCCACTGTATTACTTTCATTCATCAAATATACAGTAATCATCAAACATATTGTTTTTTCTCACATAAAATTAATCCAATGCCAAATTTCTAAGAATAAAAACTATATATTTTTCAAAAAAAAAAACATTACTAAAATAAGCTTTGATTAATCGATTTGCCAATTTTAAAACACAGTTCTTTTAACAAAAGTTTCTAGATATTGAATAGTCTTGAAGGATCTGAAATTTTTTAGCTCCAAATGTGTAAAAGCCTTCACTTATTAAAAAAAATTTTAAAAAAAATTCTATGTAGAGAGAGCATTTTTGGTGCTGCAGAGGCATTCTTTATGTCTGGGGGTAAATCAGGTAAAACTATGACCGAGGGATAAATTAATGAGAGAAAAATTCAGGACCACTTATAAGCATTATATTTTCCATTTCCCAGTTGAATCTCGGATTAATTATTGAGTTTTCATTAGAGACACCTTTATATAATAATGTAATTTCATACTCCATAAGCAAGTACTAGTTATAAGTACGTAAGTATTTATTTGATTGTAAGAAAAATATGCTTTAAAATTTTTTTTTATTTCAAATAAAACACAAGTTAGAAAAGATCAATTTGAACTTTATTTTCATTATAGATTTATTCGCTACACTGAAAGTTAATATTTTCTGAAGAATAATGCAATTGATGTCATTTTTTATATTTAAATCCGTTATATATTTTGTGGTCTATTTGTATTTTGTTTACAACAGGTTTCATTTCTAAGAATTTTTTTTTAAGTTTAAAATTTGTATATTTTTGTAAAAAAAATTATAAAATATCTTACAACTTAATGTCATTGACATGTATTTTGAAATTAATTCAAAACTTCAAAGTTTTTGCTTTGAAATAACTACCATTCTTATATGTCAAAATTCAGTGAAAGTTAAATTATTATTTTTGTACATAAAATGTGTAGATTTTTAAAAATCTGTACAAGAATTGAAAGTTGTCAAGTATTGCCCATAAATGTGGAAAATCGTTTCATAACTATTCAGTGAACTGGTATCTATTCTTTGAGAATAAAACCCCTGGGCGATTTTCCTCCGAATCCAACAGCACGGGAGGTCATCAACCAGCATGAGTGGAAAAAGAGTGATAAAAAACGATTTCATGAAAGTCAATTTTATGGTCGGAATCGGGGTTCTGAGTGATTCGGCGTGATCGCTGAGGTATTTCTCGTTGAATGACCACAAATGAGAGGCAATAAATGATTTATTGTTTCAATTTGCCGCTCTTAGTTACCGAACAAGGTGCTTTGGAGCACCATCAGAAGGTTGAGATCTTATTTGCGTTATTTTTAACGCTTCAAGTACTTATTGCGATATAATTCAATTTTAGTGACAAGAAAAAAGTATTATTTAGGAGGTATATGGGGGGAGTCTACTGTGCGCACTTTGACTCCTTGGCAATAAATTTAATGACCATTTAATTTGGTTTTTGAGAAAAAGAATTTCATTTTCAGGTGATATTTCATTTGCCCAATTACTTAAGAGAATAATTTAGTTAAAACAGTGGTGAACATAAAAATCTTTCAAGGGGGAGGGGGATCCAGGGTCTTGTCCATCTCTCATTCTCGTATAGTACTTCAATATGCTTGCAAACATTATTTTTTTATTTTGCTTAATTTGGGAACAAAAAACATTAAAAAATGAATTATTGAATTCATAATAAGCATTTATTAATAAAATTGTTAATAACAAATAGTTAATTAAATTTATTATTATCATTGATAGAAAAAAAATCAAGGAGTTTGGGGAGGGGGATTTGGACCCATAGATTACCCCCCCCCCCTTATGCGCCACTAAGTTAAAATAATCATTTACCATTCGTTAGATATTTTACGTACGTATAAGAATAATAGACAGACAGATGTTGAAGCTACA